AAAAAAAAAAAAAAGCCCTTTTAGGTACTTAAAATGGTGATCAAATTTATATCAGTCTAATCTCAGATCAATACTTTGGAACTGAAATTTCGGCTGAAGTCAAGCCTTAAGAGTAAAATCCTATTACTATTTCTAATTCCTATTTAAATTTAGAAGTATTTATTCTTTTAAAAAATACATTCTGCGAAAGGCTTTATTTTAACTTTATACTTGTCAAAGGATCTTTAATTTTGTATTCCTCTGTCTCATTGGCCGTAGCATTCTCTCTCTTCCCCACAGAATATATTTGTTACTTAGAAGCTCTGGCTAATTAAAACACATAAGAGGAACATGCTACCAACTGTAATCATATATCTAAGCTAAAACAGTACATCTAAGCAGTATTCATTTATCTGTTTTGTATTAAATATCACATATTTTCAAAAAGAAAATGTCTTTGAAAACATACCGATTCATTCTTCTTGCCCTTTCCAATACTTCAAACATGTGCTCTTGAAATAAATCAAGTCGCCGATAGCGATTATTTTCAACATTCTTCCTAATTATGTCAAAAGTAAGGGGTAGTTTGTTAGGAAAGTTGGGATCCACAGCAGGAATTTCTGCTAAGGAATCACTGTAGCATCTTCCCTCATCATCCTGATGACTCATGACTGACACAAAAAGATTATGGATAAGCTCTTGAATCAGCAGGGTCACGTTTGGGACATGAGAGTCCTCATCTCCCTCCAGGTCTCTCCGAGTTTCAAGGAGGACTTTGTGTAGGACAAGGGCATCTTTGTAGATTAACGATTCAGGCTCATTGTATGTACAGGCATTATTAAACATCATGACGAAGTCCTCAACCATAGAGTCTACATCTTGGTACTTATTGGCCATCATGTGACTTCGAATTTTTTCCATGTCCATGGGCTTTTTAATGGTCAGATAGTAGTCAGGCAGCTCCGATCTGGAAGGAAGCCTCAGGAATATAGCACTGAGGCGGCGACCCCTCTTATCAGTATAGTTCTTTACAGCTTCATAGACTTCATTTAGTTTCTGCTGCATTGGAGTCATATATTTTGATTTTTTAGGAGAAATGCCACTTTTCCTACCTAAAAAAGAGATTCAATGTTAAAATAAAATAAATGACCCTAAATTTATATAGTTGGTAGTAGTATAACCACAGGAAAGAGATCATTCCAAGTGATTTGTAAAAGATAGCAATTAGCATATCTTTAGTGAAATATAACTTTCAGATTAAAAAAAAGAACTGGAAAAAAATTTTAACTGTTTTCAGTAACTATATATATATATTTTTTTAATTTTTGAGATAAGAGTTTCACCTTGTTAACCTTGGTAGAGTGCTGTAGCATCAGAGCTCACAGCAACCTCAAACTCTTGGGCTCAAATGATCCTCTTGCCTCAGTCTCCGAAGTCACTAGGATTACAGGTGACCTCCACAATGCCTGATTATTTTTAGAGACAGGGTCTTACTCTTCCTAAGGCTGATCTTGAATACCTGAGCTCAGGCAATCCACCCACCTCAGCTTCCCAGAGCGCCAGGATTACAGGCATGAGTCACTGCACCTGACCAGTAATCATATTTTTTTTTTTTTTTTTTTTTTTTGAGACGGAGCCTCAAGCTATCCCCCTGGGTAGAGTGCCATGGCATCATGCTCACAGCAACCTCCAACTCCTGGGCTCAAGTGAGTCTCCTGCCTCAGCCTCCCAAGCAGCTGGGACTATAGGCACCCGCCACAACGCCTGGCCACTATTATTGTTTGGCGGGCCCGGGCTGGGGATTCGAACTCGCCACCTTAGGTGTATGTGGCTGGCGCCTTAGCCGCTTGAGCTACAGGCACCGAGCCAGTAATCATATTTTTGATAGGACAATAAGTACTGTTATTTAGACATAGCTGAAAATATGGTAAAATAAAACAATGTGAATTCTAATTCCATTAATTCTGGTATCTCTGAGAACTGAGATTTTCATCACTGAAGAAAAAGAAATACACATGCAAAACAAAGGACACTAAATAAAAACCTTGTAGCCTTGAATTTCAATTGAAAGTATCAGTATGAATTTACAATGCATTTTATTTTTAAATATAAACACAAACATATACACAGAAATCTAGCTCTGTCCACTGAAGAGCCTGGAAAAAACGACTAACTTAGCAGTAGTATATCCGGACTATTGTGTGTTTTTTTTTGTTTTTTTTTTAAGGGCACTTTGTTGCCCTTATTAGTGCCGTGAAGTCATAGCTCACAGCATCTTCTGGGCCTAGGCGATTCTCTTGCCTCAGCCTCCCGAGTAGCTGGGACTACAGGTGCCCGCCACGACACCTGGCTATTTTTTTGTTTCAGTTTAGCTGGGGCTGGGTTTGAACTCGCTACCCTGGGTATATGGAGCCGGCGCCTGACTCGCTGAGCCACAGAGCTGCCCATGAGAGAGCACTCTTTTTTGTGGGGGGGGAGGCAGGGCTGGGTTTTTTACCTGCCACCTCTGGCATATGGGGCCAGCACCTTACCCTTTTGAGTCATAGGCACTGCCCCCAGACTATTGTTTTAAAATACTAACTTCAAATACTAACATCAAAGAGTCCTGACTTTTAGTAAAAACATGGAAAGCTTAAGGCTCTGTGACTTTTTAGAAAAAACATGAAAAGGTTAAGGGTCTGTGGCAAATGGCAGATTCTTAGTCGGGTATATCTTGAAACATCGGTCAGTAAACAACCTATTAATGACTTCTTATTGTCCCTATGTTCCAAAAGAACATAGGAACCAGCCTTAGACAACATAAGCATCAAATAGGACAATAATTGCAGGTTAAAACTCAGTAGTATGGGCTCAGCAACTGTGGCTCAAACGGCTAAGGTGCTAGCCACAGACACTTGAGCTGGCGGGTTGGAATCTAGCCCAGGCCTGCCAAACAATGATGGCTGCAACCAAAAAATAGCCAGGCATTGTGGTGGACGCCTGTAGTCCCAGCTACTTGGGAGGTGGAGGCAGGAGAATCTCTTGAGCCCAGGAGTTGGAGGTTGCTGTGAGCTGTGATACCACAGCACTCTACCCAGGGCGATAGCTTGAGGTCTGTTTCAAAAACAAACAAACAAAAAAATTCAGTAGTATGTTCAGATCTAGTGCTCTTAAAATTATAAAAACAAACAAAAACTGGGTAAATATCAGAAGAGATAAGTAAATCAATGCCTTACTTTGAAACACCTAAATAAAGGGGAAAACAAAACAAAAAGTACCCAAGGTTTTATGCTTTTGAAAAAACAAGAGAGACAAACTGTACTAACCAAGTATTGGAAAGTTTCTCTATATAGAAATACTCTAGCTAATAAATGAGTAAGGAATGACAAAACTAAACTATCACTATTTTACATCCCCTTAATGAATTATATAAGTGAGTGTCAATTCCTGTTAACAGAAAGACACAACCAACAATATATGCTACCACATGGAACACCATGTATCACCAACAAAGTCGGTTTTTGTGCCAAAAAGACAAGACAGGGCATCAAAGTTGAATCTGATCAAGGCTCTGGCTCTATCAATTTATAGGAAACACACAGGACATAGGAATATTTTAAACTACAATATAGGGATGCAATTAGCAAAACCTAGACTATGGGAAACTATAGCACAAACCTAATTCCTTCAACAGATAAATGGTAAGACAGAGGGGAGCAAGCAATGGAAGGGAGTTTATAGATTAAAAGAAATACCAATCTTGGGGAAGCACCTGTGGCTCACTGAGTAGGGTACTGGCCCCATATACCGAGGGTGGTGAGTTTGAACCCAGCCCTGTCCAAACTGCAACAAAAAAATAGCCAAGCGTTGTGGCAGCCGCCTGTAGTCCCAGCTACTTGGGAGGCTGAGGCAAGAGAATCGCTTAAGCCCAAGAGTTTGAGGTTGCTGTGAGCTTTGATGCCATAGCACTCTACTAAGGGCAACACAGTAAGACTCAAAAAAAGAAAAGAAATACCAATCAACTGCAAAGTGTAGACTTTATTTGGATTTTAGCCTCAACCCGGCACTATCTTAAAATAAGATGCAACGTAAGTGTAGAAAATCTCTCAAGTTTTCTCACCAAGTAAAACTTAATATAGTCAAGATTTTAAAGTTAACTTCTATTTATAAGAAATAAGGAGGATAAAGGAAAAAAGTTAACTAATATCAGAAGGAAACCAACTGATTAGTCCAGAACCTGGGATACTATGAAGAAAGTAACTTGATTTCTTCATTGAATCAGTGATATAAGGAAAGAAAAGGGAAGAGACTGCTCTAGATTATGAGTTCAAGGATGTAATGATCAAACTTATTATACAGAACTTAATTACATAAGGATTTAAAGAAACAAGTGTAAGAGAGAGAAGGAAGGAGAGAAGGGTGGGGGAAAGGAAGAGCAGAGAGAGGGAAGGAGGGAGGGGGGCGGCATCTTGGTGTGTGACACACATTTGAGGGGCAAGACACAATTGTAAGAGGGACTTTACCTAACAAATGCAGTCAGGATAACCTGATTTCTTATACCCTCAGTGAATCCCCAACAATAAAAAAAAGAAACAAGTGTAAAACCACATTTGTGAGACAATCAATAGAACTTGAAAATTTGTCAGGTATTAGATGAAACGCAGAACCCCTGCTAATTTTGTTAGGTATGATAATGAGTTCACAGCTATTTAAGAAAATGTCTGCATATTTTAGAGATGCATATTGAACTATATAGAAGTAAAAAGACACAACTGGATTTGTTTTAAAATAATTTAGAAAAAAGGGGAATATAGGAAATAAGTATGGCACAATATTGATAAATACTGGATAACAGGTATATACAAAAGAGTTCACTGTGCTATTCTTTACATTTGTATGTTTGAGATTTTTCATAAGAAAACACAGAAAAATAAAAGGAAATTAACATTCAACATTAAAATTCCTTTTCCCTAGGCTGGGCGTGGTGGCTCACATCTGCAATCCTAGCACTCTGAGAGGCTGAGGGGGGTGGTTGAAGACCAGCCTGAGCCAGAGTGAGACTCCTGTCTCTAAAAATAGCCAGGCATTGTGGAGAGTGCCTGTAGTCCCAGCTACTTGGGAGGCTGAGATAAGAGAATTGCTTAAGCCCAAGAATTTGAGGTTGCTGTAAGCTGTGATGCCAGTGCACTCAACAGAGGGTAACAAGTGAGACTTGTCTCGGAGGGGGAAAAAAAAAGGCTCGGCGTTTGTAGCTCAGTGGTTAGGGTGACTGCCACATATACTGGGGCTAGTGTGTTAGAACCCGGTCTGGGCCTGCTAAACAATGACATCCTATAGCAAAAAAAATAGCTGGGTACTGTGGTGGGCACTTGTAGTCCTAGTTAATGGAGAAACTGAGGCAAGAGAATTGCTTAAACCCAAGAGTTTGAGGTTGCTGTGAGTTAAGACGCCATTGCACTCTATCAAGGGTGACACAGTGAGACTCTGTCTCAAAAAAAAAAAAATCTCTTTCCCTTTAACATGTAAAATATGAACATATGTATTTATATATATATGCATATATGTATAATATATACATCAGTGTGTGTGTATATATACATAATATTATATATCATATGTATAGCTAACACCTGCAATCCTAGCATTCTGGAAGTCTGTGGTGGGAGGATTGCTTGAGGCCAAGAGTTTGAGACCAGCCTGAGCAAAATAGTGAGATCTGTCTTTAAAAAAATAAAAAAATAAGCTGGGTGTGGTGGTGCTCACCTATAGTCTCAGGTGCTCGGAAAGCTGAGGTAGGAGAATTGTTTGGGCCCTAGAGTTGAAAGTTGCAGTGAGCTTTGCTGCCACTGCATTTTAAAAGGAGCAACAGAGTGAGACTCTGACTCTTAAAAACCCATAAAAGACATACACACATTACATATATACATTTAGATAGTTATTGTTAAACTATCTATTGTTAGTCTCCTAACTCAACTTATGGAATTAATTCTAGTTTTAAAGGGTACTGGACCCTGGATGGTACCTGTGGCTCAATGGGTAGGGCACCAGCCCCATATACCAAGGGTGGCGGGTCCAAACCTGGCTGTGGCCAAACTGCAAGAAAAAATAGCCAGGCGTTGCAGTAGTATTCCCAGCTACTTGGGAGGCTGAGGCAAGAGAATCACCGAAGCCCAAGAGCTAGAGGTTGCTGTGAGCTGTAACACCACAGCACTCTACTGAGGGCGACAAAACGAGACTCTATCTCTAAAAAAAAAAAAGGGTACCAGACCCCTATAAACTAGAATGAAAATTTTTTTCTACAAACCTTTTGTGTGCTTTTATAATTCCATGAAAAGCTAAATGTCTTTAAAAGGCTTTGTTGCTTAGTAGCTTAATCAAACCTAAAGCTCCTATGAAATTTAGTTTACAGTTATTTTCACATAAAAAAGCAGATCTGTTTTTCCCCCATTTCAGCAAATATAGCTCTAAACAGTATTTGATAAAGTCATTAACATTTGCCTGATATTTATTTTATTTACACATTTAAAATAAGACAGAAACTTCTTGTTTAGTCCAATGGCATTAATTTTGCTGTCTTTTGCCCCCTCAGAACTTTTTTTTTTTTTGAGACAGCCTCAAGCTATCACCCTGGGTAGAGTGTTGTGGTCTCACAGTTCATAGCAACCTCCAACTCCTGGGCTCAAGCGACTTAATCCTGCCTCCCTAGTAGCTGGGATTATAGGCACCTGCCACAATGCCTGGCTATTTTTTGGTTGCAGCCGTCATTGTTGTTTGGTGGGCCTGGGCTGGATTCAAACCTGCCAGCTCAGGTGTACGTGGCTGGTGCCTTAACCCCTTGAGCTACAGGTGCCGAGCCCCCTCACAACTTTTAATAAGACAATCATCCACAGACCACACTCAAATGACAGCTGAGTATATAGTATAGTAGCTGGCTATCTCTTACCTCTCAAATTCTGTCCAGAAGGAACTACTGGAACTTATCTTTAATTCTTGTGATTACCAAACAAACATACAAAAAGGAAATCTCTATCACTATACCTTTCCCAGGCATTTTATGTAAAAAATATATCTATTTTTCCTATTTAACATTTACAAATATCTACCACATTCAGGATAGTAAACAAAACCTTTAATGTTCTACTCTGTTCCCCACATCTCATCACAGTTTAGCTACTTAAAATATAGTAAAAGACAATCCTTGAAAAGAAGGAAGAGAGTCCATGCTGCTGTGCCAGTGAGCTCAAATACATTCAAATACATTCATTTAATTAAATACTTAATTTAATATTATTTCAGAAAATTGGTAGCTTTCCTTGACAGATTAAACTGAATAAGAAAAGAAAGTGTGATGCTGCCTTACTCAGCTTGAGTTTGGGAGAAGCCATGTCATCATCATCAGGCAGGGGCCCCAGCTCTTTCCTTTTATCCTTGAGTAGCTTCTCCAGGATATGCGCATCGTTGTATACCTGTTCAAAAAATATATTTAAAATTATTTTCTAAGAACTTTTTAATAAGGTTCATATGTATCCATAAAGAAGTTTTTATTTTTGGAGACAAGAGTCTCACTATGTCACCCTCAGTACAGTGCTGTGGCATCACAGCTCACAGCAACCTCAAACTCTTGGGCTTAAACAATGCTCTTGCTTCAACCTCCCAAGTAGCTGGGACTACAGGCACCCATCACAATGCTTGGCTATTTTTTTCTTGCAGTTGTCATTGTTGTTTAGCTGGTTAAGACCGGGTTTGAACCCACCAGCCTCAGTGTATGTGGCTGGCACCGTAACCACTGTGCTATGGGCACCAAGCCCATAAAGAAGTTTTTAAAATATGTATCCCTATGAAGTTTTTAGAATAGTTGGGAGTGCTACAGAGTAATAAAGTCACTGTTTTTGTAGGGAGAGCCTAGGCCTAAATTGGATTTTTAAGTTTTACAGGTGATTATAATGTGCAGATAAGTATAATAATGTCTGAATACTAGAGTAGAATCATTGCAGGTTTTTTTTTTTTT